CTTCCAGGGGCCTGGGCCCCAGAAGCAACGGGGTGAGAAGCCAGGCTAGCAAAGTTGTGAGGCCATCCAGGTTTGCCTTTGGGAACTTCCCATCTCACATTTCTCTTCTCTGCTTTTAACCCCACAAGCCCTACTCCTTAGCCCATAACAATTACAACCCAAGAATCTCACATTCCGCCAACCCAAGTTTTGCTTCTCTCTGATAGCAATTTTTCCCTACAATGTCCCTTTCCATTTTCTTCTATCCCCTCAAAACGTGACTCATTCTGGGTCTCGTGGGTCCCTCTGCAAAAGTCACATCTAAGTTTCTGATTAACATACTCAGCAAACTTAGGTTTAGGTCATAGATTGATATGGTGCTTTTCTCAAGGTTGTCTGTGTTTTAAACAAGGAACTCAGTAATGCTTCATCCAAAAGAGTAAACCCCCAATGGTAGAGCTCTGGAAGCTTTAGAGATGCTTAGAGCTTCTAGGAAACAAAGAAAGCAGATATTTTGGGCCGGGGGGCAATGGCTCACGCCTGTAATCCTAACACTTTGGGAGGCCAAGGCAGGTGGATCACTTGAGGTCAGGAGTTTGAGACCAGCCTGGCCAACATGGTGAAACCCCCGTCTCTACTAAAAATAGAAAAATTAACCAGGTATGGTGGCACATGCCTGTAATCCCAGCTGCTCGAGAAGCTGAGACAGGAGAATCACTTGAATCTGGGAAGCAGGGGTTGCAGTGAGCCGAGATTATGCCACTGCACTCTAGCCTGGGAGGCAGAGCAAGACTCCGTCTCCAAAAAAAAAAAAGAGGATATTTTGGGTCAGAGGCAGGCTCAAAATCCCTTGTGGGTCGAGGATAGGGATCACAGTACATATATGAACACATTCTCTGCCAACACATTAGCCTTCCTGAAAATCAAGAAAACAGACAATTGTCAAACGAAGAAAGGCAGTGGTCGTTGGAGTGTGTGTGTCAGCAAGCAGGGGGATAAGAGTGCATTTACACACATATACGCCTGTGCGTATTAGAGAGGAGGGACTTCCAACTGGCTACTGTTCCTCAGCTTGTTTCCAAGAGATAAAAATGACAGCTGTTTGGCTTATACAGTTAATTAACCTGAGGAATGCGCTGTGTAAGACTGTTACTAAGGCAGCTGGGTAATTAAGTTTTTCCCCAGAAAGGGAGGGAATGGGGGATAAATAAAGCATTTAGGAGAGCAGACACAACACTGGAGGAGACATTGTCGGGAGCAGAAATCAGGCATAGAAAGCTTTTCAGCTAATCCGCTGGTTCTTGAGAACTGTGTGCCATCCCAGAAATGACTGAAGGGCATGGCGCAACCCCTGCCTTCACACGCCCTGAGAGAGGACAGTGGACTCTCGGGGTCACACACAGCCCAGCTGTCTCTGAGAAGCAAGCTGAGTGGCCAGAGCTGAATAAACAGCAAAGTTTGACTAACTCCTTCACTTCACACACGGAAAAATGGCAGTTTGTAGAAGAGCCCTGACTTTCACAAGGTCACATCCCTGTTATTAGTGTCAGACCCAAAACCAGAAAGAGGGAGCCTTCACCCCCAGTCTGGGATGACTTCACTAACCATGACTGCCTGTGGATTCTTCAACAGCTCACTCTAAGTCAGATTGGCATCAATCACCTTGAGAGGCACAGAGGAGGGCAGCCCAGGGATGGGTGGATTTTAGTGAGGTACGTGAACACATGTCCTGATCAGGGAAGAAATGCTCAGCAGTGTGCTTTGCAGATGGGGCAGCCTCTGCATGCGGATGCAGCCACCAGGAGGGGGGCAGGAGAGAAGGGTTGGATAGAATAGTTTGCATCTGCCAGGCACCAGGTTTGTGGTCACTTTACACATTCTTTTGTGCAGTCCTCATGACAACCACTGAAGCCCATTTTTCAAATGAGGCCCAGGGATAGCACAGAAGTAAATGAGGGCAGGGAAGCATCACAGAATCACAGACGTTTTCATCCATGCCTTGAGATTGAGGGAATAATGGTGCAGTGAGTTTTCCTAGAATCCATCTAGGAGCTGGAAGAAAGAAAACAAGAGGCCAGGGTGATGGGACTACAACTTCAGGCCGTTTTGGTAAAGAACAGCCTTGTCCCAACCATAGACAGTTAATGGGTCATCAAAGCAGATCAGCCCAGAAGGGCAAAGTTAGGGAGGCAGAGAAAATGCCATAAGGCAAAGCTGGCCAAGACCTATGTCCATTGCAGGGTTGCAACATGGACCCGGAATTTACAGAAGCAAGCCCTTGAGACCGATGGGATTTAGCAACTGAGACAGAATTGGGTAGAGGAGGTAACATGAAAACAGGCTAAGACTGGTCCACAAATAAAAAAAAAAAAAAGCCACACTTGGAGGTAGGGAACTAGGAGAGACAATTTTGGAACTAAAAGGAGTCTCCACTGCTCCTGTAACTCCATTCTGCTGAGTCACCCTGTGTTAGTTGACTGAAACTGGGGGTAGGGAGTGGGGGGAGTAAGGCGGAAATGTCCAGGGGTCATAAATGCCCACCCCATTGCCCTTGCATTCATGGCACATCAGTAGGATGTGGCACAGAAGAACGATCTGGTCCTGGGGCTCAGGGCTCGCTATGTCATCCCTGCATGAAGATAGAACAGAGGCACTAACCAGAGGCCTTGGCTTCAGGGAGATGTATCTGTGGGAGTGGGAACTGGTAGACAGGGGTGAGAGGGGTAATAGGGAAGGGTGAAGGGAGAGGCAGTAAGAATGCAGCATTGCATTCGGCCAGCCTCGTTTCCGGCTGTGGCTGTCCAGTACACCCCCTACCTCTAACTACTCAGAAAACTCAATACACAATGTGTTTCTCTCGGAAGTCTGAGGTCCCAGCACACACCCAAACCCTCCCAATAGTTCACAGGGAAAACAAGAGCCACTTCATGGGGTGTTATAAGAATTATTCGAGATAATTTATATAAAACTCTTAGCATGATGCTAAGGACATACATGATATGCTTAACGAATTATAGTTGCCGTTGGTATCATTTAATAACAAAACAAACTTAAAAACTGACATTAGAACTCAACAGAATTAAAACCTGAATTTCTATTCTTATCACGCAGCCACCAATGCATCCAGAGAGGGTTCAGGGTACATCTGTCCAGAGAATGAAAAGGGAGTCTCTATGCCTTTAGTATCTATCTTCATTGCTGGAACTCATGGCCTTTGGGAAGGGTAGGCATGTAGTAGTGAGGGAAAGAGAAATGAAACAAGACAGAGAGGTGGAAAACGGGGGAGAGATGCTGATTGTCAGCAGTCGGCTCATTGCCAAAGAATGCTGAGGAAAAGAAGGGATCCTAAAGACCATCTCATCTAATACATACAGAAAAGGACAGCAAGGCTTAGACAGGGGTAATCTCTTGCCCAAGGTCACACCTCAAGTGGTGTGACCTGAAACTATACACTACACTCAAGACGATACTCCCTGCCATCCTCTATTCTTTCCAAAAGGCTAGATAAATTTATTCCCCCTTAGAAAAAAAAGAAGAAAGAGCCAGTGCTTCTCAGCTTTCACAGCAGAAAAATAGTGGAGATTTATCCATCCCCAGGGTTGCAAAAGTCTAGACTTCTGTTTTATAAGCACCCTGTTTTGCTCTCAAGGGGATGCTTAGGAGCAGCGAAGACAGTTGGTTTCCCAGGGCATCAGAGAGGCAGAGGGCAGGTCAGTGTGAAGCCAAAAGCCCTAGGCCTGGAGGAGGAGAGACTTTTCGGATGGGGCTGGGATTGAGGGTACATCCCAACAGAGGGGCCTCTGACCTCTCCTTGCCTCCCCTCCCAAAATGCAAGTCAGCCTGAGAAAGGAAATCGGCAGAGGTCTCCCTGAAATTTTTAGACATGGGCTTGTAATTTGGAGGAAACAGCCAAAATCACTCTGTTGCCTAAAAAGCTCAATACTGCCAGGTCCCCTGATGCTCATGGAGTAATCTAGACCCACAGGGAGTGCTGGCTAGGAATGGCCATCTTACCCAACGCTGTCAAATGGGCTTCCCCACATCCAAGTGGGTGAGATGCAGAAACCACAGCCATCTCTGCTCAGCACCTCCAGTCATTTCCCTATACCATGTGTAACTAAAATAGCCAAGATAATGCAGCGACTAGAAGGGCAGTGAGGCCCAGAGGCCGTATCACATACCACCTTCCACAGCCCAGAAGACAAGGGCAGCCTGGAAAGGGGAAACCACAGATAACCCAGGTCTCTTTCCCCAAAGCCTGCAGCAACTCGGGACAAATCACTCCCTTATCCTTTCCCTTGTTCAAGCAAAATGGCCGAATGAGGCAGCTGGTAGACAAGAAAACACTGAGCGATTTCAACTTTGGTAAAGAAAGATTCCACCCTGCTGAGGGCAGACAAAAAGAAAACCAAAGTTCCTACAAAAAAAGACCCAGAGACAATGTAGAAGAAAAATACAACAGCTGTTTATAAAAGCCATGCCTAACAGGTGATGTTAGTCGTAGTTCAAAGCGTTGTGTTTCTGGATTTGATCCAACTTACACCTGAGCCTCTGACCCTGCTGGAGAAGTTCAAGTCACTTCCTCATCTATCTCACTGACTGTGGCACAGCTCAGTTCCTGACATGGCAAGAACACAGTTCGGCCCACACATCCCAGCACCAAATAACACATGAGGCTCTATACACCTAAATGGCCAGTGTTTGGCCTATTTGCCTGTTCCCAAGACTTGAAAGACTATCCTGCCCATGCCCAAGGACTGAGAAAAGACTCCATGTCATCTCAGAGAGATAAGAGAGAAATGAGCTATTTAGTTAATTCTGAGTACATTTCCTCTTGCCCAACTAACAAGTAAATTTCTTAGAGGCAAGGATCTGGCCTTATACTTTTACTGCACTCCCCAGTCCGCGTAGTGCACAGGGCTTGGCCTACACCAAGTACATTCTAAGTATTCAGTGGACAAATGGCAGCTCACACATCCCTCCCATCCCGCTTTTCTCCAGTCCTGGGATGTAGGGCCTACCTCACCATGCTGGGTGCAGTAGGTCTCAGGCTTGGTCAGTCCACAGGTAGATGAAGCTCGGAGAAACCGGGTCCTCCCAACAAGCAGGTCCCCGACAGGTGGATAGCAGGCCCCACGGGAGCAGGCTTGCTGGGCATGCAGGAGGCCAGGTAAGGCTGAAATCATACGGATGTGTGATGGTACAGTCCAGAAAGAGAGGGACCTTGCTGGCCACCCCCAGTGTCCTTCAGGGAAGCTGACATTAGCAAGATTATATCCTCTCCCTCACTCAAGCTTCCACTCGCTGCTGGTGGTAATAATTGCAGTATTGATACTGTTAGATTTTAAAAGTTGATTTCATATTCTATATAACTCAAAACTTGAAAAGGAGAGAGGAGAAACACTGGCAACCAAAAACCATAGATGACCCTAAAATATGGCTTTTAGAACCAGACTGGAGATATTGACTCGGCCATCATGACAAGGTCCGCGGCTCTTTCTACCTGCGTCGTGGCCTCTGTGAGCAGCCCAGCGGAGGGCTGACTGCTGAGCCCTTGGCGGAGCATTCAGAAAGGCCTGCGTTCATTCTGCTCCTTTATCTTCAAAGCTGCCCCAGCCACACTTTGGGAGTGCCCAGCTACAATTCACTGGAAAATAGGAACTTAAGCCACAAAGGCTTTGGAACGAGCTTGAGAAAGGATGGGAAACTGTGGAGAACACTTGGGAAACCACAAACCACCCTCGGGTAAGAATAAGAAGACATTTGGAAGCCTTTCCAGAGTGGCAGAAAATCTTCTCCCCCAAAGGCCCAAAGGAATGGGGAAATCTCACAGGTGTCCCCAGTAGACAAGTATTCCCAACTGAAGGGACTACAGGTGACAGGTGATGCCCACACTTTGGTAAACTCTCCTCCTCCCATGGCTGTCGCCTCCCTGCCATATAACAGGCCTGGAAGGATGGGAAGGGGTACTTACCAAAACACAAGAGGAAGAGTGATCTCATCTTCAGCCAATGGGGTGATCCCCAGAGAGGACCTTACCTAGGACAGAGCAAAGCAACCTGAGTACAACACTGCAAACACCTAGAGCACACTAGCCCCTTTTCTTTTCTATTTCTAGACTCAAGTTTTTTTTTCAGAAGTCTTTACGTAGGGTCCTGATCTAGAACACTTGGTGCAGCAGATACATTTGTAGCCAAAAGCTTGGAAAATGCTGGAGCTCTAGACCCTCTCAAGTGGCATGTGACTCACAGGGTGCCCTGCGAAAATCCCACCCCCTCCCATACTCCAGCTTCCTCCTCTAAAATGGATGGGAAGGAGTGTGGACCCTGCCCAACCCCACACAGCCATAAGGACAATGTGGGGAGCAGGAAAAGGCTGGACCCCTTGCAGGAGAAAAGCTGTAGGAAGGTCCAAGGCCTAGTTCCTGCCCCGAGAGGGCTGGCTTTTCTCAGGGCCTAGACCAGCAGCCTCAACCCAGCCCAGCCCAAAGTGAATGAGTCAGAGTGGCTGACAGCCTGGAGGCAAGCCTTCTCCTGCCATGGGCATGGCCTCCAATACCATCCAGGGCCACTTAGAGTTTGAGGCTGTGTGCCCACAATTCTGGGCTAAGCAGGCAGCTGGGATGCAACAGGGAGAGATGTATGGCTGTCTTTAACAAGTGAGTGAGGATTTCATCTGAAAGGGAAGCAACCCAAAATGTCTTCAATGATGGGCTGGGGCTTGACAAGAGGGGTGGGGCTGGGAGGCCACAAAGCAAGGATTCTGAAGGAGGCTGGGGAAGGATGCTCGAAAGCCACTGTGGGGTCCCAGAGGCAGGCTTGCCTTGTGGAAGCATGTCCCACCCTTGCTCATGCAGTGACCCCCTCTGCCTTGAATTGGATGTTCACTCTGTTCTAATGACAGCCACAAACTCTTTTGGCTGGGGTGGAGGGCTGGGGGCTTGGCAAGGCAGGGGCAGAGGGGGAATTGAGGACATTCCTGCCATCTTTAAATTATAGATCCTAATGCTTCAAAATCATTCCTTCTAATCCCTCTCCTAAAAGAGTCATGGGCCCAGGGAGGGAACATGTGGTCTGAGGTCCCACAGCTAATTGGCCTAAGAGAGACCCATCTTCTGACTTTCATCCAGTGCTTTCTCAGCTTTCCCACCCCTGACTGGAAATCCCCCTGGAAGTAGACATTCTGAGCCAGGCCAGCCCACCCTTTTCACTTCTCTTTTGTGCTCAACCCCGGATCTGAACCTGCTTTCCTCTAAGCCACTGAGGTGCTTATCAAATGTGAAAAAGCAATCAAAACTGTAGCAGACATTTTAACCTAGCTCACCTGAGTGAGCTCCCAGGAAGAGGAATAAATCAGGTCCTGCAACCAGGCCCCAGGCACCCAGAGATACAGTTCTCCTACCCCATCCGGCCCCCACCAGGCAGGTAAAGACAGGTAACCTACCTCACTGTGTGTTCTGCCGTTCTTCCTCCAGATCGCCTGAAAGCTCCTCTTGAATGTGGGGGTCTCCCCTCCTGGCTCCAGGTTTTTAAACAACAGCCTCACCTCTGGAGACTCCCTGGCTGGGTGTAGCCCCACCGCAGGGCGGGCCTCAGGAATCTGGCAGCCGTCACACCCATCTGTCGTCACTGCACCCCCACCTCCCAGGACAGGACTGGGCAAGTGGGTCGGTCGGTTGGTCCTAGAGGCCTTGCAGTAAGCTCCACAATGCCCGCCTCCCTGTGGGGGCTGCAAGGGGCACCACAAACGGCACCAGGCACATGTAAGTGATCATCAGAGACCAGGATTCATAGGGTGGGGAAGGGCCCTTGCATCTGTGCCAGGCAATGAACTCCTCATTTTCCCAAGGCCAGCAGGGGTCAGCTTCTTCTTGTGACCTGGACCACCCCAGACAGAAGATCCGGCAGAGAACACAAAGATTAGGGCTTATATAGAGAGTTAAAGCCCCAGACATGTCACTGGGCTGGAAGGTGAGAAGACCCAAACATCCAGGTCCCTGGAAAGTACCATTCCCCTCCCCAGTGGGAAAAAAAAAATGAAAAATCCCAGCTTCTTGGGGAATTTGGAGGATCCTCAAAAGGCAAGGTTCATCAGGAAGGATTCAAAGCTCAACTCATCCAAGGAAAGCTTAAGAGAAATGAGCAGAGTAACTCTAAATGCCTCCCCTCCAGCTCCTTCCACAGAGCTGGCAGGGAGCCCTGGGACAGGTAACTGCCTGTGAGTCACTCCTCCCACCTGTGGGGAGGGTTAGTCTCCTAGCCCCTCCCTCCCTGGGCAGGAATGCCCGCCTGGAGGGCCAGAAAACAGACCTGACCACAAGTGGTGGAAGGAAAGGCTGAAGCATAGCTAGACTGACAAAGTCAAAACAGACTTTCCCTGGCCTCCTGCCAGGCCTGAGAACACAGCTTCCTTTGTGGGCTCCTTGCTCAGGGCTCCTGGGCTTCCAGCCACTGTAAATGGACGTGGCAGGTCCAAATTGAGAGGCTGGTCTCACAGGACACTCTTTCCCCCAGGTTAGAGTTGGAGAACTTTTAGGGAAACCTGGAGGGCCACCCAGTCCATATCTTGGCCCTGGAGAGCCTGTACTGGCACCGTTTTGGAATGCTAGGACCTCAAAGTTGCTATTTAAAGGAACTTCTTAACTACCTATTCCACTTCGTCAGTGTCTCCTAAACAGAAAGTTCTCTACCATTGGAGGGTTATGTCCAAGAAATCGGCTTGAAGACCCTTAAGGGGGAAATGTAGAATTTTGTGGATTAAATTGGGCATTTCTAACCCTCAGATTCTAATTTAGCATAAGTTCAGGTAGGCAGAAGAAACTATGTAATTAGCAAAGTGGGCAGTAAGTTGTTGATGCAAGTTGATGCATAATTGATATTCCAATAAATGTTAGAGTCTTGCCCCCTGTAAGCATTCCAGTGAAATCTAGCTCAAGTCAGCAAGTAAGGGTCAGTAGAAGCAGGGTCTCTTCAACACAAAGAGACCTCCCTCAAGTCCCCCACAGAGAAAGGTCACCTCAGACACTGACACGCCTGTGTTTTCAGTTCTCCCACCTGGTGGTCTCTTTCTCTCCACTTCCCCAACTCCCTGAACTCAGTCAGAGCTCTCAGGAAACTTTCGCCCTCTGCCCATCACCAGAGAATGTGACAAAGAACTCATTAATAATTAACTCAGCAGAAGAGAGCAAGGTGTTGCAATCTCAGATCCTCAGAGGAGACAAGGCAGGGCAGGTGTGCGGTGGGCCTCACCATGAGTAGCTAGGGCTCCTTAAATCCACCCCCCTCCCTTTATCTGAGGCCATGAGCCCAGGTAAATACACATTTGGTGTCTCAGACTTCACAGGCTTGGGCAGGTCCTGGAGTGGTTTGGCTTCGCAGGAGGGACATGCCAATTGCTGTGCTTGGCTCTCCCCCACACTCCTGGCAAAGTCCAGGAAGCTGTTTATGCAGACCCCCAAGAGCGGCCCAGCCAGCCTCACTCCTGAGGGACACTGATCATTTCCAAGTGGGGATCCAGTCCCCTGAGAACTCTAGGGCTCTAGGCACAAACTTTGGAACTTCAGAACCCAATTTGTTCAGTCAGGTAGCCTAAAATAGAGCCTGAGGCCAGATCAGGGTCCAGCTAAGATTAAAAGGGTATGGTACTGTGGCTTGAGCCCCTCAGCCTCCCCTGTGTGCACACCTTTCCTCTCTCCCTGCGCCCATCCTCCTACATCAGAGCACTCATCTGCCCTAGAGCCTTGGCTTATTAGAATGTGTGCTCAGGAAGGTGGCTAGTGAAGTCATCTCAGACTTCAGTGTCTCAAACCTCATCACTCCATCAGCAAATTCGGTCAGCTCCCCCTTCCAATAATAATCAGAATCTACTTCTGCCCTCCTGGCCTAAGCCTTGCTCCCTGGGACATCTGCAACAGCCTCCTCACTGATATATGGTCAAGTCCCAACACAGCAGGTTACGTACCCCCAGCTCAGAATCCTCACATGCCCCTCTCCCATGGAAGTCCAAGGCCGGAGCTTTTTCAGAGTCTAGGGGCCCTACACCACCTTCCTCCCATTACTCTTCCCCTCTACTACAATGGCCTCTATCCCTATCTTAGCTCAGGCTTAGGGCTTTGGCTCCAGCTGCTTCTGCTGCCTGGAATGCTATTGCCCCTGGATATCTACAAAACTAACTCTCCGACCTCTTTCAAAGTCTTTGTTCAGATCCTAACTTCTCAATGAGGCCTACCCTAAACACACTATTAAAATTACAGCCAACTTCCCTGCCCCATCCCTGTCCCCCATCCTAGCACTCCTAACCCCACCTACCCTATATTTTGGTGAGTTATTTATTTACTTATTTGATAGGGGGGCATCACTTACCAGCTTCTAACCAACTATATAATTTATCTACTTATCATGTTTATTTTCTGTCTCTTCCTAACTAGAATGTGATATCCAAGAAGGCAGAGATTTATATCTTATTCCTCAATACTTGTGGAATGAATGGATCCACACTAAAGTACAAGCAATTAATATAGTTCAATGCATCCCCTGTGCCTTTTGTATAGTTGCATTCTCAGCGGGGACAACCCAGGCTTTGGGCACTGGGATGGATTACTAATAGTGGAAATCCATGTATCAGCCAGAGTGCGGAGGTCTTTTTTGAGGCACCTATCTCCAATTACAGAAATGTCACCATATTGACAGAGGCAGTCTCCTTCTTTTCCTGCTTCTCAGTCTTTGCTGGCAATGTCTCTGACAGGGTGTGGGGGTGGCATTAGAAGTTACTGTCTCTATTATCCATCTGTCGGTTCAAACTGTCCAAGTTTTTAGGGAAATCAGCCAAGATCTGATCAATCAGAGATCAAGGGATAGGGAACAAAGGAAGGAGGAAAGGAGGAAGAAAAGGAGAGAGAAGAGGTTCAGGGGGCATAAGAGAACCTCCTCCAGGCTGTGACTCTCAGGTGTTGGAGGAAGGGGCACCAGGTGACTCAAATGCAGGCCACACCTGAATACAGTGAATCATGGCTGAGTCCTTGTCTATGGGATAGGGTGGACTCCAGGAATGGCCCTGGGGATTTGCCATGTGACTAAAGCTGGCGTTGCCCTGCACTACAACACAACTGCTCAGCTGTCCAGACAACTAGTCACACTCTTCTCTGTGCTTCCCCAGGAACCAGGGAGAGAAAGTGGGCCTGGTGTGTTACAGAGGCACAGATAGCAGCCCAGCCTTAGGAGTGAGGAGGCTAAGCAGGACAGAAGCCGCCTGTCATGAGTGACTCTTTCATAGCCCTTCTCCTCTTCCCAGTCTCACCTATCCAACCTGAATGTTCACCCAGTGGAAAACTGTGCATACAGCTTGAGCCCAAGGGCTGGGAGCAATCAGGCAACTGGCCTAAAATCACTACAGCTGATGTCTGCTGAGTGCTCACAGTGCCCAGGCACTGTTCTGAGCCCTTTGCATGTATCCACTCACTTAATACCCACCACAGCTCTGTGGGGATAGAAAATTGTCTTTCTCTTGCAGACAAAGAAAATGAGGCACATTTTTGATAACTTGGTCTCGGCTAGTAACCCGGGATTTGAGCCCAGGCCATTTTGCTCCAGCAGGCATATTCTTAACCATTACACAGGGCCAAAGATGAGCCATATCGCCTGAACTCCCAGAGTCTACCCTGGCTAATCCTTGGCCAGAGTCCACCAGACTCTGGACCTCATGTCTCCCAGTGTCTAAAAACTCCTCTTTGTTGGCCGGGCACAGTAGCTCACACCTGTATTCTAGCACTTTGGGAGGCCAAGGCGGTTGGATAACTTGAGGTCAGGAGTTTGAAACCAGCCTGGCCAACATGATGTAACCCCATCTCTACTAAAAATACAAAAATTAGCTGGGCATGGTTGTGGGTGCCTATAATCTCAGCTACTCAAAAGGCTGAGGCAGGAGAATCGCTTGAACCCAGGAGGTGGAGGTTGCAGCGAGCCGAGATTGGGCCACTGCACTCCTGCCTAGGTGACGGAGTGAGATCCTGTCTTAAAACAACAACAACAACAAAAAACCCTCCTCTTTGTGCCCTTGTTCCAACCCTTGGAGCACTGATACTGTCTAGGGACTCCACGAGTGACACTGATGCTGTAGAGACATCTAGAACAAACCCCACCAGGTGCTGCCTCCTTATTTGTTTTCCATATTGACAACCTCTCTTGTATGGGCACAGATGGAGAAGGTGCTGGCCTCCATTTCTTCCATCTCAGGGCCTCCAGCACATACCAGCAGGGTTTCCTCCCTCATACCAACAGGGGTGGGTCTGACTAAGGACAGGAGCACGCCAGGAGGCGTGGGAAGACAGAAAGTGACGGCAACATTGCAGTGAGCTGACAAGGTGAAGCAGAGGGCGTGACGAGAGGATGACACAACTTCCCCTTTGCCAAAGGAAGGAGATCCCCTGCCCTGAGGTCAAGAGCCTGGGCCACCTCACGGGCTGCAGCTCCTTCTGCTCTGTCTCCCAGTGTGCCCTCCAAATGGCCCAGCCCTCCTGAGGGGTACAGCCCAGTACAGCCTGCAGCCTGGTGGAGTC